GTACTATACCGCTTTTTTTTTTTTTAAAAAAAAAAAAAAAAAAAAAGTTAACTGATCAGCGTGCTGGCGTGCTGTTTGCCTTCTTTCTTTTTTTAATCCTCTCCCATCCCTTCCTCGCAAGGCTACGGTGCTCAAACCCGTGGTCTACGCAAGCTCCCGTCTCGCGACCCTGTGCCACACCGCGAGGCATCGAAACAATCTCCCGACCATGATACAGCACTGTGCCAGTGCTAGTACAAATCCCCCCCTTCCCGTCGTAAACACACTTGGACGCGGGAGAGTGCCTTGCATGCGGTACTCGAGTACTCGTACAGGTAGCCCAAACGGTGATCGACGGGTTCGGATCCAAAAATAAATCCGTAACGCGAAGTCTAAACTTCGGCAAACTGCAGCAACGTTGTGGGTGCGCATTGCGTTCGAGTGTCGTAGAATGGTCTAACCCGGGGCTGGAACGAAGCAAGCAAGGAGCGAAAGCGGGGGGAGGGGGGTTTCTCAAGGGTCCTTCCTATTTTTACTCCATATATTTCTAGATTGCTGTACTTGTGCTATGCTTTTCTTAAAGTACTAGTACAAGGACCGGTCATGGCACGAGTACTCGAGTGCTGCAATAGTACCTGTGCAGCACGATGGTGATAGGCTTTCCCCCTCTCCTCCCAGCCTGCCGTGGTTTGTCATGATGGGATACGGTAGCTTATGGTTCCGACGTCCTAGTCATGCCATAATGTGCCCGAGTATAGTGTGATGCCATACAAGTACCGTAGGTCAACTCCTGAGAGGTGCTGTACGGTGACCTCGTACTTGTAGTACCGGTAGTGGCGCAGGCGCCGTATAGCACTCGTACATACAATGGCCGGTGATGCCGGATGATACCGCAACGTAATCTTGCCTCTTCACGTCAACCGACGAGGAGATGGATCATCGCTGTCAAATTAACCGAAACCATCTTCCCTCCCTTGCTCACTCGCGCTAGTTCGCTGTTCCTGCCGTGAGGTGCTCGAGTAGCCGCCATTCAATTCCTCCCTAAGGTTGCCGGGAACTGTGCGAGTACCAGTACTGGTGCTGTAATACCGGTAGACCATCATATCATACCTTATGCCTTCCTTCCTTCCTTCCTTCCTTCCTTCTTTCCGCCATGGATACTGCACTGTATCATACTGCTTACGCCACTTTCAAGCAGATAGGGTTGACAAATGCTCTCCTCCACAAGTTAAACCAGTGGACCTCCCCACTCTGCCTGTGAAAATGGTATCATAAGGTGCACCGTTTTTTTTCCGTACCACCCGCCAAGGACGACATGGTATCCGCCCGGTACCGTACCGCATCAAATCATACCGCTACCGAACTCGGACAAGTGCCCATTCGATCAAACTGCACTTCTGTGTGTGTGCAGTGAGTCGCTCTGCTTTGTTTTTGTTTTTTCAGGAACCAAAAAGGGGGTGCAGTGCAGTGTGTTTGTGTGTGTGGGACCTCTTTTTTTTTTTCTTTTCTGAAACGGGGCTGTTGGACCTGAAAGTTCTGGAGATCGACACCTCTGGCGCTTAGAGTGGCGGAGGGGTTCGCTTCGAGTTGTCCGTACCGCTCACTTACGGTAGGCTTTCAGGCCCTGGGAGCGATCTCTATGAATATCATACCGTAGTTGGAAGTCGGAATTCAAACTGTTTGTGGTCGGGCTATTGTCGATACCTGCCGTACCGGTATTGCACTGCACGAGTACTGTACCGGTACCGTACTCGTGCAGCATATGATACCGGTACCCTACTGCACCGGTATCACACTCGAATATCTTCAGGGATCCCACACCAAAACTAGACTAAATTGGTTGTATCTCTTCCTGATCACTCGACAGTTGATAGCCTATCATCGAACAGCCGCCCCCCAGGATCTCGGGGGACGTGTGAGGTACCAATACCGGCATTCCACTTGTTACAGAGTTTACTGACTGAATAGCCCTGGAGGAGCTGTTTCCCCCCTAGCGAGCTGAATTTGGGTATGCCGGGATCCACGGTCTCTGGTTGGCTGTTGCCGCTCATGGTGCTCGTGCTTGGCAGTCCTGACATGGTCCAGAGCGAATCAGTGTGGGCTTCCTGAACAGTGCTCGTACAGGTAGCTCAGATTTCTCGCTGCTACCACAGGAGACCACGCGCCTCTCGTGGTGAGGGGCATTGCTCTGCCCCAATATCCCGTTTCCTCTTTCTCACCTCCCCTTCCTCCCTTCTATTCTCCCTCTTTCCTTCCATCTCTCCCCTTCTTGATTTGGCGGGGCCATCATTTTTATTCTTTTTTAATTTTTACTTTGTTCTTCTTTAACTTTTGTCTTCATTTCCTCTCCTTTATCTTCCTTTCCGACTATCTTTAATCCATCGCATCTGTCTCGGGAGACGGAAAGCGACAGACAGCCCTTTCTCCAACAGGATAAACCTAGGAATTAGAAAAGTAAACGATTTGGGTTGCAATTTTTGGCAGCGCAGGCCTACTGCAAAGTTTGTTTCGTTCCAAACATAAAGCGTTTTGGAGCGTTAAAGCAGCTTACCGTCGCATGCCTCGTACGGGTCTTATACTACCTCACCTTCCCTATTAACCTGGCTCTTGTCAGATATCCTTTCCACTCTCCACCTTTGGCCCTCGTGCTATTAGAGATACTGTTTGGCTGAGAATATTCGACATATTCTGTCCTGTCCCTTTTCCCCCCACATCCCCTCCACCATCGTCTGCTACTACTACTGCTATTGGATAAGCAAGAGAGAGAGAGAGAGAGAGAGTAAGGAGCCACTGCCTTCCGCATCCCAACATCGTCATCTGGATCCTGCGGTGGGTCGAGCAGTGGTTAACAAAGTCCGCAGAAAAACCATACGAAAATGCCACCACCTTTCCTCACACTTGATCCTAGAACGTCGCCGATTACCTTGTCACCCTTCCCTTCACCAAAGATATCACCAAGGTCGGATACGGACGACTTGGGGCCAAGTCAGGATGAGGATGATTCAGTGTCTCCTCTAACGCCGAATGACTACTCGAGGCTTTCAGGTTTCCCTCAGCTATCAGGATTTGACTTTGCCTTTGACAACCGGAGCAGTTCGGATGATCCACCATCCCCTTCGGGGCCACGAAGGATTTCAGAGGCCGCATCGGTGGAACAGTTGATACGACCTGCTTCGGTGGCTCGGAATTCTGCATCATCATCGTCATCATCATCATCATCGGCCGCCCCCGCCGCCGCGCCACCTCCACTGTCAATCGTCGTACCGCCAAGTACGGCAATGGGAGGAGTTCACAGGCCGGCGGCGGCAGCCGAAGATTCGGAAGCTCCACCTCCATACTCCAGATACGCCGGTGCATCGCAACCACCCGCGGTCCTGAATCCCGCATGGGGGGGCGCGGCGGCTAGAGTCGCCGGGGCTCGTAATGTGTCATCCATGGTGCCAGTCGCTGTGTACACCCGTGGGCAGAGAGGATTTGCGCCCGTGGCCGGTGTGCCGGTCAATGGCAACCCCCGAAGGCAGAGTGGGCAGAGGGGATTGCATGCGTTGGCTTTGGCAGATCAATCACAGCAGCAGGGTGGGCAGCTCAGTAGGCGGGATAGCTGGAGGGAAAAGATCACGGCGGGGTATTGGGAGACCGAGGTTGAAGTCGAGACTGGGAGCGAAAACAAGAGACTGACGAGGAAAGGGCGGAGATGCATATTTGCCGTCATGGGTCTGGTCCTCCTGGTCATCATCATAATAGCAGTTGTAGTTGGCGTCGTGACAACCCGCAAGGATGAAGATGATTCGGATGACGATGATACGTCGAGGAAATCAGCAAATATGGAATCACTACTTCCGGAGCTACCCGAGGGCACGCACGTCGTCAAGCCTCGGGGTATACCCGAAAAGCTGTATTCGTGCGTTTCCAACCCGTCATTTTGGAGCTGCGACCTGCCTAGCGATTCACTATTCCCCAAAATTGTCGTACCAGACGGCGGTCCCGTCCTGCCGGAATTCCGCTTCACAATCCGGAAGGAGACAGGATCCGGCTCGGACATGCGCGCCAACTCGACCCCGGCCCCGGAGAACGAAACAGATTACACCAACGTGGCAGAGGTGGACGAAGTGCGGGCGGATCCAAAATCCGGCCATATGACAAACTACTACATATCGCTGGTGACGCGGGACCCAAGCGCCATAGACCAGGACCCGAGCCGGGCAACGGATAATGAGACCTCGTCCGCGTCTTTACGCGAGCCGCCGAGAGCCTCGGAAGTGAACGATTCCTCCAAGTCCCCGAGGAAGAGGGGACTTCGCTCCAAGCGCCAGAGCCCCCCCGCGTCAGCGAAGAATATGCTCCCGGAGACCATCGAGAGCCAGCCGCTCCGGTTCTTTGATGGGGGGCTCGAGACGGAACATTACGGATTCCACATGTACTACACCAAGACCATCCGCGTTACCCCACCGACCGAATCTTCGACACCCGATCCGGCGGGCGGGCTAACCTTAAACGAGGGAGAGGGCACGGACGTTAGATGGGAGCGAACCAGGTTTAAGGTCGTCATCTGGACGAAGAAACTCTCGGACGGAAGAGCAGTGCTTGTTGACCCCCAGGGACGCAAAGTTCAGGCTTCGGCCGACACAGACGGTTTTCCGTACGCTGTTAGTATTGTCCAGGACCGGCATGGGGATAGAGGCCCTATAACACCCGGTCCCGGCCTCCCGGAGCCTGTCCAGGAGAAACTCGGAGAGAGTGAAAGGTGTCGGTGCGAATGGACGAATTGGCGGACGAATCTGAGACAATAAGTCCCTCTGGCCTACCCTCATAGACCTGAATCGTTCAGATGAAAAGAAAAAAAATCTGGTCGGGTACATAGTTTCTACATTTCCATTTTTATTTCTCCCGCTTCACTATCCTTGCTGTATCGTCTCCTTTTCTCTTTCAAGCCGGGTTTTCATTGTTCTTTAAACTCCTTTTCTGCATGCTACTATCATGGTTTGCTTGATTACTTGTTTGACTGCTTTCTTTCCAAGGGCCGGGCGAAACTGGGGTGTCATTGTATTTTTCCGCATTTTTTCCTTCTCGTTCTCATTTCTCCATCCATCATAATTGCCCAACCATCACATCTAAGAGCAAGGCAAGGAACAAGGGTTTTTACGCATGTATGTATGTATGTATGTATGTAATATGTATTCTAAGGCATAATCATTGGAAATGAGAAGAACCAAAGGAATGTGTCAGTTCTGGTCACGGTATGACAGCATGATATACCAAGCGCCGTGATGTTAGGGCGGTTGACGTCTGGCGTTTCTGGCCCTTTATTTATTTTTTGCTTTCCCTTCTTTCTTCAAATATTTTTCCAAATCTTTTGATTGTTTAAGGGTGTGATACAACCGCTATATGATATTTGACCAGCTAGATCATAACACGAAAGCTCGAAGCGCGTGAATTCCGCCGCTCGTCAATGCCGTCCAATAATATTATTACAGCTCCTCTAGCCCCGGATCAACCGCACAATCCCCCCCAAATTGAGAAGGATGGAAGGCATCACTAGTCGGCACTGACAAAGAGGGGGGAAAAACTAAAAAAAATACTATGATAATTATTATAACAACTGATAATCCCCGTTTTCATAGTACAGAATAGGGTACTCGGGTACAGTACAGTATGATACTCATGGTAACTCACTCGTGGGGTATCTAGCTGCTAGGCGAAGGCGAGTGGGTTAGTCTTGGCGGTATCATAGCGTGACAGGAACAACCCTTGTTCCTGACTTTGTATTTTTTATTTTTTTATTCTTTCCGGCAACCGGGTGTCAGCCACGATTACCGTAGCCTAGCTAGAAAGGAAGCCTTCTTTGTCACAACCTGGCTTTACTCCGTCAACCACCTTCCTTCCATCGCTTCCACTACCACCACCACTACCCTACTATATCACAAGAAACACAAAAACCACAACGACAATGTCTCTCGACAAGCAAGCCGCCGCCTTCACCCGCTCCGTGCAAGCCCAAGCGGGCCTAGCTGGTCAACGCCGCACGGTGGCGGCCCCCCAACCCACCGCCACCACTACAACACCTCAGACGACCCTGAAGCGCAAAAAGGTCGTGGACCGCAGCAAGCCCGCGCCCGCACCCATAGTCTACAGCCAGCCAACAGACACCTCCCTGATGGGACAGCACATCCTAACACAAGTGCACCACGCCGTCCAATTCCTGAAGTTGCGCGAGAGCCCGCAAACGATGCAGCAGATTGCGGATTACCTCTCCATACATATAACACCATCCCTCCTAGAGATACTGAAGCGCAACGAGCGCATAACCTACGACGCCTCGGCCAACACCTTCGAGTTCAAACCGATCCACAACATCCGCAGCGCACAGGCACTCCTGGCATTCCTGCAGCAGCAGACGACGGCGCAGGGGCTCAGCGTCAAGGAGTTGAAGGATGGGTGGAGTGGGGCCATCGATACCATCGCCGACCTGGAAGAGCGCTCCGAGATACTGGTCACCAGGACCAAGAAGGACAATCAGCCGAGGATGGTCTGGATCAACGATCGGACGCTGGATGTTCAGGTCGAGGAGGAGTTTATGAATATTTGGCACAAGGTGGTCATTCCCCCGCCGGGGGAGTTGCCGGGGGAGCTGGAGAGGGCGGGGCTGAAGCCGACCAGTGTCGATCCCGCTACCATTAAGAAGGACGTCAAGGCGACGCAGAAGGGGAGGAAGAGGGCCGTCAACCGCAGGGTCAAGATCAGCAACACGCACATGAACGGGATCTTGAAGGATTCGAAGGAGTTGAAGAGCGGTGGGTGGAAAAAGTAAAGCTAGGGGATGGCAATTCTTTTTTTTTCCTTTCTTTCTTGTGATAATTGGGGGAACGCGTAGGGGGGGAAGGAGGGATATGGGGCATTCGGCGTTATCATTTTTCATCATTACTATCATACAGAGTTATTTTTTTTTCCCTTTTTTTTCCTTCCCCTTTCACCATTACTCTATATTTCATGTCCTCTTCTTCTATAATTCTCAAATCCATCCTCCACCCCCACTTCTTATTATTATTATTATTATTTATTTTTTAAAGAAAAAGAAAAAGAAAAATCCATATCAAGAACTTGTGGTATTATAAACACCTCAACCACGTGAAAACGCGGGGACGAATGCGGGGCTCTTTCATTTAAAAAATAAAATAAAAACAACTTTTTCACCTTCTCGATGATATATTAGCATAATATAATAAGGTAGGTAGGTAGGCCTTACATCTATATACTTGAGTAGAGAAGAGAAAAAAGGGGGGCGAGTACGATATAACAAAAGAAAGTCGGAGAATATCATAATCCGTACGGTACCCTATGACACGCTATATACCGGTATTTCGGAACAAGAGGGAAAGAGGGGGGGGGGTACGATAAGAAAGAAGTATTAAAATATCAAGGAATGGTTGGAATGTTGTTTTTTAACCTGCTGGTCAACTGATGTAACTTATTGGTAACGATGTGACGGAAAATATGTTATATATGGTATTATACCATACCATACCGGTACGGTATCGTATCGTACTTGAGTTGGGCTGCTGTGGTTTTTTTTTAATTTTTTTACCGTATATATTATAATACCGGATGTATGATTATGATAATATATTTGGTATCGGACTACCGTAGCGCTCTCCCGTCGCTCAGAGGCAGGATACCGGTAGACTATGGGTTTGATGAGAGTCTCGTGGAGAAAAGGAAACGAACGGGTGGACAAACCAAAAGAGCAAACAAGCGGGCAAACTCTCAATCACCGTAAAAACTCAAATAAAAGAACCGTGTGCTAAGAGGTTGATTTAAGGTGAGTCATGCCAAGATGAGTGATGACCTATCGCGCAATATCATTTTCTGAATACTTGGCACTAGTCAAAGAAAACATTTACATCATCCTCTGCCTCTTCTTCTTCTTCACCGTTCACTAACTCATTCTCTGCAGCTTCATCCACCTCCCTCAAGCCATTTCCATAATCAACCAAGGTGCCCCCCCCCCTCTCTTGTTGACAGTTTACTAACCCATGGACTAGGAAATCAGTCTCTATCCCCTTGATAGAGATTTCGGTATCAGCACTTCCATCGATTGGAAGTGCTAATCCCACCACCCGAAATGCTCGCCGAACAACCTCCACTTTCTCCTCCGAGAACCTTGTCCAAGCCTCCCCGACTGCCCAAGTCGCAGCGATTCGTCGACGCCCAACCATGCTTCCTGTGAGTTTCCCCCCTCCGACCAAGATTTCATCCTCCTCCCTGTCGATCATATCAAGGCGCTTATCTAACTTTTCCTAATATGAAATAGTGATTTAGTATTTGAAAACAGTAAGTCTATACCCCCTGCTCCACTCCCACCTACCTTTAGAATATCCTTAAAAGGACGATTAATGGAGACATCAAGAGGTTGCACAAGTCCGGTGCAACCTCCTGGTATGACACTAACGGTAATGTCATGGGCACGTAAAGTGTCCAAAACCTCTTCAGTTTTATGGGCAGCGAAGAGGTCCATTGCGAGTAACGTAGGCTGACTTTCAAGTATAGGAACAACCTGCTCCTCAAGCCACTCGATGATATTTTCCGAGTTGGCATACGCAGTTGGGTTGAATTTTACAACAACCCGACTGTCGTATTTTCTTCTTTCTTCAACAATGGTTGGTCCTATCCCCTTTCCCCTGAAGAAAATTAATGGCTGAACTCGGGGGACTCCATCAGCAAATACGGTGAGTTGTATTGTCCCTTGTCTTTTATCCCACCCTGATGTACTGCTGGACTGAATCCAAATTGTTTTTTCACCTATAGGATTATAAGTCTGCCCTTCGAGATACTCGAAGGGCAGAGGAGTTTGATCCATATTGCAGATATTCTGCAATCTGTATCTTCCAACCTCAGCAGGTAAGTCCCCTAAACCCAACTCATTATCACCTCTCACCAGTGAGTTTCTACGATTAAACCTCATCCATGCCAGTATAGCATTCCCGAAATCTGCAGGAAGCTTACTGGCCTTATTTGTTACAAGACGTAGGCTAATACAATGTGCCTGCAGGAAACTCCGGAACCAGCCATTGGTAAATTTGAAAAGGTATGCCCTATTTCCATCATAAACCTTTTCGAAGACCTCTTTGCTGACTCGCCTAAACCATCCCCTCCTTACTGGTCTTCCGAGTGCTCTGCGCTGTCGAAACTCTTCGTAAAGTGCCCGTTCCAACTCTGGCCATTTTCGTGGCCTCCCCCCTCCGGGCAACTTTCTCTCTCCCCTTTTGGCATCCGAATACCTCCCCTCTCTCTCATCTTTCTTCCACCGCGAGAGATTTCCTACTGGAATTTTGAAGTAGGCTGCCACTTCAAGGCGTGTGGGCTCTCGGGTCCTGGTAGGTCCGCATGGTATCCGAGTTCCATACCACCAAGATAATACCCGGAGCTTATAACTAACTGTGTAGGATCGGTAGGAGCTCTCGGTAGCGGTTGGGGATTTCTGAAGTATCTCGGTGAGTGGTTTTCTCTTTGGTCCTCGTTTCTTCTTTACTCCTGCATAAAATCTATCCGCTGGTAGGGCTGGGAGTATAGGTTGTACTGTAATTCGTCCGCATTTTTTCTTCGGTTGTTTGGCTGGCATTTTGGCAATGTATATATAAATCGCTAGAGTACTGTAGAGTAGGATGAAATAGAGTAGATATCATAGAATAGAATTAAACTTGTATATAGTGATAACCATCTAATAAATACATTCTTACAAACATGCATGTAGCTACAGTGACTCTATTGACATGAAGTTTGTCGTCAAGTTTATCGTTGACTCAATCTGAGTCGCGTAATTTTAATATGCTAAATTTACATTCAAGACATTTTTTCCCGTCTTTTTCCCTGACTCACTTTAAACTGACTTCATAGCACACGGTTCTTTTATTTGAGTTTTTACGGCAGTTAATCGAAAGCGTTCGTAGCTGTATCATACCTTTGATATTTCCGCACTGTGCTCACATTCTCCCTCGACTTAACCTATGTACTTAGTTGCTTGCTTGCTTACTAACTTATACTCTGCTTGACATGTTTCACAATCGATTGCCAACTATTCAATCCAATCCTATCCAATCCAATCCAGTTCAATTCAGTTCGACACGGCTTGGTTTGCCCTCCAACTTTTTCCCATTCCGACACCTCTCGTTTATTTGATAGAGTAGAACAGACAGAAGCGAGAGATGGAGCGGTAGAAGAGAAGAAGAGGTGAATAAAGCAGCGAGCGGAAAACAGAAAACTACAGCAACAACAAGAACGGCTTTTCGTCGGTGCTAGGGGGGATGACGGGGGGCTGAAATCAGAAGGCGCAGTGGGCAAAGAGGAAAAAGAGCATTGAATGGAGAGAGGGAGGGAGAGGGGAGGAAACAAGCAGGGGAAAGGGGGGGAAGAAGAGGAAGGGGGGGGGGGGGGGGAGAAGGGGAAAGAAGGTGAGATAAAAGCAAAGGCAAAGTGTATGACATTTAAACCGTCCATCCATCAAACTTTATTTCCATTTTTTTGTCCATTTTTTTCCCTCCCATCCTTCTTTCCCTTTTCCACTCCCTCCCCCATCTCCCCTCCATTCTCCCTCACTTTCTTCCTCCTCCCATCCGTCTCATTTTCTTTGTGGGGTAATTCTATCTCCCAACAACCCCCCCTCTTTGCCCTACACCCTCGAAAAGTCTCATACGACCCTGGATCCCGTCTCCCCCAGCAATAGTGTCCCCAAACTCCACGCCCACACCCAACACACCTCCGGTCTGCATCTGCTGGGGGACCAATCTCTTCTGCTCCTCGTGCAGCCGTTCCAGCGGGGTGGGTAAGATCCTGTACTTTTCCCACTCGATTGGTGGGCACTTGTATATCTCCTGAGGTTTCGGCAAGCGTACTCCGGATGGCGAGGCCGAAGTGGGAGAGGCCGGGGAGGTGGGAGAGGGGGGCGATTTCAGCGATAGGGCATTCATGAATTCGACAGGAGCGTCCAAAGCTTCGGTCCTCAGTTGCTCCAGGATCTGGATGTCCCGTTTTGCACGCTCGCGTTGGAGGATGAGAAGCCGGAGAGCCGAGCTTAACGCGATCGAGTCGGTGTTTTTGTTTGTCTCTGGCTTGAGAGTCGGGGATCTGGGTGAGGGGGTGCGGGGGGGCGATGTGCCGGTGGGGGAAGGGGTGGCGGTGGTGGTGACAGTGGAGGAGGTGGTAGCGGTAGGATTGTAAGTGATGGTAGTGGTAGTAGTGGTGGTGGCACCAGTGGAGCCGGAGAAGTGAGGTGGAGGAGGATTTGTGAATCCTGCCGGAGCCATCGGGGGAGAGAGGGGTGGTTGCGGGGACGGTGTGGATAGCGGTGAATAGACGGGCGATGGGTCGATGTCGTGATCTTCTGACTGTCGGGGTGGAGTGTGGGTTTGAGCGGCAGGCGGGGGCGGACAAGTGGGGAGGCGCATCTCGAATTTTTTATTATTCTTTTACCCTCCTTCTTCTCCCTTCCTCCTTTTGGCGGCACCCTGTTGTGCTCGTTCGTTTAAGAAAGGTGGATGGTCCGTGCGTGGCTCCCGCTGCTAACAAGGGTTTGGCGTATGTGTGTGTGTGTGGTGTGCGCGTGTGTGGTGTGCTTGTGTGTGCGTGTGTGCGTGTATATTCGAGTCGCGGTGCGAGTATGGCGGTTGTGGGGCGGGCTCGACTTTTTATTTTATTTTTATCCCTTATTTTATTTTTGGTGGGCTGTCGCCGTCGTTCTCTCTTGCCCTACGGGAGGCGATGGAATGAGGGGGAGAGGAGAGGTAGGGTTGTTGTGTCCGGCACGGAAGGGTAAGTCGGGTTTAGGGTGCGAGGGAGAGAGGGAGACTCGTTTATCTATCGTTGTTTGTTGCTGCCCCCTTCCGACTCCTCTGGACTACGTGGTTGTGAAACCGCTCGCCATCATATCACAGTCTGGGGGAGGAAGGGAGGAGGAGGAGGAGGGAAAGAGGAAATTATGACGCGAGTATTTGTCTTGGCGCACACGCACGAGGGAAGGGTTCGCCTATCACCGAATGTTAGTCGCGAGAGAAATTGATTTTTAAAAATATAAAGGGAGAGTGAGGTTTGTTTCTGCCATGATAGTATTGATATCGGTACCGAAAAATTGCCGGTATTTGCTTAAGAGGGGGTTTTTTTTTCTTTTTTTCCTTTCCAGGCCGGAGGGGAGTGGGAGGGGTGGAGGAAGGGAGGAGAGGGAGGGAGAGCTTGACGGCACTCGGGAGCTGTGATACGATTTCTACTACCGTATGATATCGGTTGGTAGCCCTTTCTACTCGAGTACCGTACCGGCACCGTATGTTACCATGAACCTGCCGTATCATCCATCCTACCAGTGGTTCGGTGTCACCACGATGGTCTGTATGGGAGGGCAGTGATGGATGGGATAGGATAAACAGGTGATGGGGAAAAAGAAAAAACAGAAAAAGACAAAACCAGGAAAAACATGACAAGAGTTGAGTTGAGGGACCGACAGAAGCTGACCCCTGCATCTCACTTTGAACCATGGGTAAACAAACTTTCAACCAGTGTTTACACTCCGTGCTCGTCCGACCTTTTATTTATTCTCCTCTCTCTCCTTCCTCACCTCTCTTCCCCCACTTCTCCCGCATGTCATAGTATGCTGTCCTGACACTCGAGTCTACCGGTACAGTACATGTACCTTGTTTTCTCGGCACCCAAACCAGGACGCAAACGGGGCGGGTGACTGACCAAGGAATTCCCCAGGTTTGACTCATCGGGGTCTCCTTTTTTATCGTTGGATACTGGTAGCACTGGACATCTGGTCTCGAGCACCCTCATAATTCAAGGCCCCCCCTCGACGGTTTACCTACCGTAAGAGGTCTCACCTTCGTCGTGCCATACCGGTACTTGTACGAGTACTCGCACGGTACCGCAGGTGATCGTTCGAATCAATTTCCCCTCCCCCATTTTGTCGTTCTCTGCTCGATTTCTGAACCCTCCACGCCCAGGTTCCTGGAACTTGTTCGGCCGAAAGAGGACCGGGGGGGTTGTTTGTGTGAGTGCGGAAAGGAAGCTTGTTGGTGTCGACCAGCTTGGTGTGGCCACGGCTTCTTATCCCTACCGTATTCGCCTCGATTAGGTCTCCTTGACCTGCTGCGTTACTACCGGCTACCGTGCCGTATCACATTACCAAGTACGAGTACTCGTACAAGTAACGGTGCCGGTATCGGGTCTTTGGGAGGGATCACTGGTACATGCTTTCAGGAGAAGCCTGAAGCATTTCTAAGCATTGTGCGGAGGGGAGGGGATACAGGATACCGTTCTGTAGTGTGGGTATGATACCACCTTTTTTTTCTTCTTCCCTGAATAAATCCATTATTTTCTAAAAACCCTTCCGCTGCTGCCTTGTCCATGTCCATGCCCATGTCAATCTTCCGCTTCTAGCACCGGTGTTCCCGATCTTTCTAATACCCCTCCCTTAAAAGTTTGTCCTCTTTATCTTCATTCTCTCCTCGATTTAGCTAGGCAGACTCCTCGAGTTGAGCGAACGGCGACCGTCTGGGTCAAAATTTATGCAGGGGGGAACGGAGGAAGGAAGGAAGAAAAGAAAGGTGGAGTGCTGAAGACTGCCATCCCACAATCGAATCGGAAAAGAGGAGCACACACACCAGGCTTTCTTTTTTCCCCTTTATCATATTGCTCCCTTTCGATTTTAACCGTTCGCCCTGTTTCTGTCTGTCTCGCGTCTCATCTCATCGCCGCCTACGCAGCTTTCCTTCGTTCCCCACCTCCTTCCCTCCCGATCCATACCATCCACTAGGATCCCAAGGCTTATTTCTTTTCCTCTAAGAAAACTACTTTACGCGTGGACACGTGAGGCCGTGTTCTACAGCTACGCGTTCCCCTTAAATTTTTTTTTTTTCGCCCTTCCCACTTTTCCCACACTTGCTCGCCCCCCCCTGCAGGCTCCCTCGTCCGTCATCTGCCCAATCCTCGGCTGCATCCTCTTAGGTTGCTCCCCTTCTCCTTGCCCCACTGCTTCCTCTTTCACTCACACACCCTCCAACATACACCTGTTTCTCTTGGAATATCCTCTCATTGCATTGCACCACACAGGAGCTAGCCCGAGCGAAGGAAGGGCGAAGGAAGGAAGAATTAAGGGAGGAAAAAAAAACCAAAGCAAGGGAGCAGCAGCGGCACGAAGGGTCGCACCCTGACCAAATAAAGACGTCGCAATTCGATCCTTCTCTTTTCATCCAGTCTTTTTCAGTGACCTTTGTGAGGCGAGCCGACATTTTATCGCACGGCAACCTTTCTTTGACTCTTTGATATAAGCTCCGAAAGGTCTGTCTGTGGGACAAGAGAACGCACAGTCCATTCGCACGCTTCGCCCAAGCTTCCCAGGCAGCTATCTGCGCCGACGGTTAAAGAACTCCTCCCTGCCCACCAACTTCTCATCGGGAGATCTTGACGTAAGGCTGGCCATTGCGTGGAGCTCTTCACTAGCAGTTCTCACCGAGGTCTCTTGCCGTCCGCGGATATTCCCATTTTAGACTCAATTCTCGCCCCGATTGAACTGGGTTTACGCACAATTGTCGGATCAGAACCGCCTTGGAGTTTGGAGGGGTAAAATATATCCCAGAGTAAGATTCCATCATTCTCTTGGCCTATTTTTTGGAACTACCTTGCCCCCATTGGTCCATTACCCACACCACCCTTCTTCGCCCTCCCTCTTGTCACCGCTATAAATACCCCTCACCTCCCCCCCCCCCGTCCCCGCTATTTACTGGGTCTTGGATTCCAATCGCATCGTGCTCTGTGAGTACGGTTCTTTCAATTCTGGTCACAGCTGCAGTTTCCCCTTCGAATATCTTCGAGCAGGAACTGATCCCATCATTCCTATAGAATTTGAGCAATGTCGGCAATGGACGAAGAAGCTACTCAGCCCGCTACCCAGCCTCTTCCTGTCCACAATGGAGTCGCGCCCTCAACCGTTCATGGCAATTACCTCGCGGGTGTCCTCTGCCTACTTCATCCGAGCTCACCCGCCGCCTACTCCATTGTCGAAAAGACAGCCAAGGTAGACCCAACTGTCGTCCTACGCATCCCAGCTGCCCAGGTTGGCCGTCAATCGGCGACGCCCGAACCTGGCCAACACGAGGAGGATGAGGAGGGTGAGGAAGAGGAGCAAACCCAGCTTGCTCCCAATCAGCAGGGCGAACCTGAGGTCTCCGGGTTAGACATCGCCCTTCGACTTTCCCCAGGCCCCAAGGATCCGGAACTCGGTTTTGTTTTTGGGAGAAATCCGGCCCGTTGTGACGTTGTCTTTTCAGAATCAAACAAAAGTCGACGGATCTCTAATCTACACTTTCGGATATATCAGAATGCCCAGGGCGTGTTGATGTTACATGACTCCTCGACTAATGGGACTTGGGTCGATAATGTCAAGCTCGGTGGCGTTGGAGTGGATGGCGGAAAGAGCACAGACAACCAGCGTGCTCTGTTTGCAGGAAGTGTGATTCACCTTGCTCCTGGCCCAAGACTCTTGAGGTTCATCGTTCGGATTCCGACCCAAGATGGTACTAGACTCACGTCAGAAAGAGTTCCGAGCCCTGCCGGGGGCGAGTCCAGCGTCGCGAATGTTGGCATCGATCCAGGGCCGTCGCCCCCTTTCCCTCCTCCTAAACTTCTTCCAAAGGCAACCCGATCACCTATTCGCCCTCTCGCTGCGGATTTGCGAGATCCCTTTAAAGCTCAGGGGAAGGGCCGCCACACAGCGAAGGCCGTGAAGTACAACGAATATGAAGGATGGGATGGCGGAGAACGGTATAAGTTTGAAGGCATTATCGGAAAAGGCGCCTTTGCTACTGTTAGGAGAGCCATCGATAGACGGACAGGTGATGCCTATGCTGTAAAATCTATCCAGAAACGAGCATTTGCCCAGAGCAGTGATAGACAACTTGGGGTGCGAAAGGAAGTTGAGATTCTCGAAAAACTGAATCATGTGAGTACCTTATGTATTGACGGCGATGGAGAACAACTTTTAATTCTTCGTGCTAGCCCAATATTGTTTCGTACATTGATTGCCATGAAGATCGCTCCCATATTTACATCTTCATGGAGCTCATAAAGGGGGGTGACTTGAACGAATATCTTGGGAGACACGGGGCGCTCCCTGAGCCTATGGTTCAGGAGGTTTCACGCCAGGTCTTGCGTGGAATCGAGTACGTCCATAGCATGGGGATCTCCCATCGCGATCTTAAACCGGACAACATCCTTCTTGCCTGTGATGACCCAATTCAGGTCAAGATATCGGATTTCGGACTTGCTAAAATGGTCCAGAACGAAGACACATTCCTCAAGACATTCTGTGGCACAATGTTGTTTCTTGCCCCCGAGGTTTTCCCGGGCTATGCAAGTGCCCTCGTCGAAGGGGCCGGCAGTATGAAGAGAAAGCGTAATCCGAGGGAGGAAGCTGGCCGTGAAGATGGTCGGGGAGCCAAGCAGAGGAGGAGATATAACCAAGCCGTCGATATGTGGAGTTTCGGTTGTGTAATCTTCATGTTGCTTACGGGGAGTGCTCCGTTCCAAGGCAAGAACCAGGATGACATGTTGAAGATTATTCTTTCCGGTAAATTCAATGTCTCTCCTCTCGAGAAGCGCCTGGGGGCCCGCTCTCATCAAGCAAGGGACTTTATAGGGCGACTTTTGCAAGTTGACCCAGGGATGAGGATGATGGAGGTTGAGGCGTTGAGACACCCCTGGCTCGCGGACGGGAGCGAGGAGCAGTCGAGTATGGAAGTCCAAGAAGATGATGTGGATGAAGGGCCTGATGGGGGAGATGACGAGGAAGCCGACGCCATCAGCAGCTTCGAAAAGGTTGAGAAGCAACAGGAGAAGTGGATGATGGTCCAAGGACCCGATGCCAGACCCAAATTTACGGCCGGCTCTGGCAGGCTTGGGCAGGAGGAGCTTAGTGATAATGATGAGGAAGATAGTGATGGAGAGGAGATCGAGACGCCTAAGTGTGAAGAGCTCCAGGACGTCCAGCTCCGCAAAGCTGTCACCGGCCTAAGTTTCAGGGGCGAAATACACATACCTGCTGTCAGGTTCGACAGCGGGAGTTCCGAGGGATCCTTTGCATCACTTGGAGACGCAGAGTCCAACCGTGGATCGCGCAGGATTTTTCATCCCCCTCCAGACATTTCTATTCAAGGGAGCTCTGGCGTCTTTCCAGACCATGGATTCTCTGTCTTCTCGGATGGCAATGACAGTTCAGACCATGGCCGACAGGTTGAGGAGGAATTCGTCCCCTCCTCCCAGACGCACGAACCATTCGAATATGACGAACTCCGCGTCACCAAACCAGGCAAAGGCGCTCGTTCTGGTTCCATCAGTCGAAGCGTCAGCGGCGGTTCCCTTAGTGGTGCTGAAGCGTTAGTGGGAAAACTTAAGGTCCATTCACCCTCCCCGAAGGATACCCCTTCCCCTACCGACGGGGAATTCCAGCAACATCAAAATCAAATGACACCACCAGCAGCCAACGGGGTCATGAGTGGCGATAGCAATGACATGGACAATAGTCCTACCCCGACCGCTGCCCGCCAGATTACTCCAACTCCACATCAACGCTCCCACCGCCCAAGCCCGCAACCTGACTCGTTCGAATCCCAGGCGGCAGTAGAATACTACACTCCTGCCTCCCTCTTCAGCTCCAACATCCCCCCACCCCCCGCGACTCCCTCGGCCATACCCGCGGACGAGAACCTGCCCCCCACCCAACCCACAAACTTTGATCATCACAACCGTCAATTCGCCGTCCCAACGACCCCCTGGGGCCGCCTAGTCCCCATGCCCGGCTCAATCCCACGCTCAACCATCTCCCTGAACAGACATCAGATCAGCATTGGTCGCTCCGCAAACTGCACGCACACGGAAACGGACATACGTATATCGAAATACCACATCGCCTTCCAGCTCTCGCCCCCGGACCGCGACGTGGACGAGGACAACTTCCAGCCAGCGAGCAACATGATCGCCTGGTACTACGTCAAGGGCACCAACGGCGTCATCCTTAACGGGAAGAAGAAGCACAAGGGCCGGATTGGAAGGATCTACGATGGCGACGTGGTCTACTTATTTAAGGACTGCAAACCTGGCGGCGTGGTCGAGTACCTGGGTTTCAGGTGCGAATTCAGCATTGGGCAGCACGTCCGGCTCGTCGAAGAACAAAGCGATTATGAAGACGAGGGGTTTGGAAATGCCCATGGGACCGCAACGGGGAGTATGGCTACTACTATGGCGGTTGGAATATCGAAGGGGGAGAACGGGTCTATTGATGGGGTTGCTTGAGGTCGCTATTTTTTTTACCCTTTTCTTGGTTTTTTGGAATTCTGAGCTTGAGTTGGTTTGCTCCATTTTTACCCATTTATCGTTCTGTGTCCCTCTAGGGTTGGGTGGTCTGCATTATTATTGCTATTATTATTGTTATTATTATTATTACCCATTTCTTTCATCTTATTCCGTCTTCTGTTTGGGGGGTCTTTTTTTTTTTTTTTTTCAAGCTTCCATCACTCTACTCTCCCGTACCTTACTTGTTTTGCCTCTTGAACATTCTATGACTGGCTGGGTTTACATAAAAAAAAACTTCTTTCATTATATTTACTTTACTTTCTTACCTTGTAGTCACTGTGCACAGCGTGGTTTCTTTTCCACTTTTTCATCCTTATATATCCCTTCTTTCATAGCAAACGTGACTTGAACCGAGTTGCCTCGTCTCTTGTTTTGTTTGGCTAACGAATGAGTTGTATGTTGTCACTTTTTCACTTTCATTTTTTGACTAGTACCTCTCCACTGCTGCATCCTGGATGGATGTGAATGGATGGATTGGGTTGTATGGAAATACAATGAAATTGGTATGCTAAGACGATGTTGCACTGCGCTTGGGGGAAGGCGGGTACTGTACTGTACAGTGGGCAATGTAGCTAACTGACTTCGCTCTACGTCACTCCAAGGTCGAGGGTTTCTTGCAAAGATAAGGATTAAATGAATGGATAAATAAATAAATAAAAACGGACAAATTATACATGTGCGGTACAGTACAGAGTGTTGTGGGTGTGATATTATTATTGGAATTGAATCGGATCGAATGAATACTTGTAATGAGGAACCAAAAGAAATTTGGGTATTGCATGCGCAGGTGCTTGCCTGCAGCCAAGAGAAAAGGAGAAAAGGGGGGGGGAAGAAAAATTGAAAGTGGTGATAAGGTAAAAGGTAAAGTGAGAGGTGAAGGAAACAGAAGGTTGAGTAAAAACTAAACAAATGAAAGGAGAGACCAGACCAGCCGCTGGAAAGTGTATCTTCCCTCTCCATCCCTTCCTATCATTCCATTCCGTACCGTACGCCGTTCCCGCCGCCACACCGCCAACCACTATCCCTACCCCCCCCCTCACTCTCATACCGGTATTAGTA